ATGGTCTGCAACCTAACTTTCTTCAATTTCTTCGCTCCATCGCTACATTTCTCCAGAATTTACCACGCTTCATGAGAAGTTGCAACTCCTGTAATCTTTTCGAAGTGAGCTTCATCAACACATTGATGAATAAGGATAAATGAAACATAGAATCTTGGTCTACTTGTCAAAAAGTTTAGTAGATTCTTCAAGAAAAGAAATAAGGATAAACCTGTGCAAAAGAGGTATGTAAAGAAATCATATTTAGATTCTTTTCATTACAAATATTATGGATGTGACAAATAGAGGCATGTAAGAATGAAGTGTCTAGAAAAGAAAAAGAATTAAGACAAGAAAAATGACAAAGGTAAAAAGAAATCTTAAATTGCGTGCGATGATAATGATACTTTTTCAACTAAAACTCAGAAGAAGAAGAAGCCAATTTGTGCTTGATGGCTGGTCAATATTCTCCCACCAGTAATGTAAGTACTACTTCTTCCAATAATTCTCTGAACTATAGTTTTCTGCTAGAATCCTTTAATGAAATGCATGAAGAAGAAAAGAGACTTGCTAGAGAAAATAATATATTTAAAGGAATGAAATGGCAAGGGGTTTTTTCGGAGGAGGACTAAGAAGCTCGGCATGAAAAAGGCATTTGTGTGTCGCATACCATGTCCAAATTGCTCCCCCAATACCAGATTTAACCAATATTATATTTTCAAATGAAAGATATTTCCACCTATGTTTCTTATAAACTTTTGAGAAATCATTTAAGCAATCTTTTTAGATCTGTTCCAAGAGAGAAATGTGCTTTATTCTTTAGAATTCTTTTAAAATCATTCTTAAGGCTCTTTGTTCTTATTCTTGAAGAAACTCATTCTGTGATTGAATTGTTACTTCTACATAATCATTTGATTGTTTTTGTTTCTTTAAACATCTTAATCTTATGTTCGCTTCTTTATAATTTCTGTGTCTGGAATTGTGGACACTAGTTTAAGCAATTGGAATTGTGGTTGCTGTTATAGGTTCAAGAACTTGGTTGTAGTTCTTGGTGTAGATTGATTTTCTATTACTTGTGTTTGTAATTAATTGAATTTTGATTAGTGGAACTCAACTAAAATTGGTTAAGAACTAGATATAGCCCATTAGATTGGGTGAACCAGTATAAATTCTGTTGTTCTTAATCTTCTTTCATTACCTTCTTATACTCAAGAATGTTATTCTTTGATTCAAGATAAGATTGATTTCATTAAAACTTTGAAATTGGTAATCTGTAAATAAAAGTTGTGAAATATTTTGATTAGATCAAGTCACCCCCTCTTGATCTCAGCCTGTATTTCTAACACGCATTATCTTAGTACGATGTATATTGGTAGAAGCGAACATCTTATATAATGTGCTAATTAGAAGACGAACACTAAATAAGTTGGGAGTGATTATGTCAACCCCCGACATGATGATGAAGTTGCCATCATCAAATAACAAGTTTGTGATAACAATAAGATCATATATGAAGGAAGCCCGAGCATGCTACACCAAAAATCTCAAGGTGGAACTATTTATTGCTACGAAAGTTTAAGGGTAACATGTAGGTTCATAAAATAGAAGAAACCTAGACCCTCAAATATAAACATATGGAAGTCAGCATACTTTCGACGAGGACATATTAGATTTTCAACTCGGGAATGACGTATACTAGTCACATATATCAGTCATGTGATTGATATAATCACTCACAAACAAATCGAAGAAGTCTTACTAAAAAATGTTGATTTATTTGCATGGTGCATGATCAATATGTCAGGTATTGATTCTAATGTAATCTCACATAAAGTATCATCTTTACCTGAAGCACGTCCGAGAACAATTGCTTGGTTGACAACACGTCTAACAAAAATATCGTAAGTTTCCTAGACACTTACTTTGGTATTAACCATATAAGGATGTATCCACCGAACTAGGGGGAAACAACTTTTGTCACGAAAGGTGCAAACTACTACTGTTATAAATTTATGTCCTTCGGATTAAAGAATGCAGAAGCTACTTACCAACGACTAATGGATCATATATTCTACAATCTTATTAGAAATATCATGGAAATTTACGTGGATGATATGGTAGTCAAGTCAAAACATCAAGCCAATCACCTTACTCATTTACAACGAGACTTTGACAAAATTAGAAGATATAATATTTGCTTTAACCTAAAGAAATGTGTTTGGTGTAGGAAAAGGCAAGTTCTTTAGGATTCATGATCACTTAAAGCGATATCGAAGTAAATCCAGATAAATGCAATGCTATACTTACCATGCAAAGTCCTTGGAACCTAAAAGACGTACAATGATTGAATGGAAAGCTTGTAGCATTAACTTAATTCTTGCCAAAGTTAGCAGAGAAAGTAAAACCCTTTTTCAAACTATTAAGAAATTCTAAAAAGTTTGACTTGACAAAAAATGTGAATCTATGTTCCAAGTTATAAAAAAGGACATTGCATCCTTACCAACTACAATACGTCTGTTAGAAATGTAGGCTGAGATCAAGAGGGGGGGGGGGTGAATTGATCTTTGAAAGATTTTCGCAAATTACAGATTATCTATTTCAAAGATTAAGATTTCAGACCAGTTCTTGAATCACACACAACAAGCAATCAGAAATAAATGCAGTGATAGAATTAAAGGAGAGAAAGGTTTAGAAAGATACAACCAAGGTTTATACTGGTTCACCCAATCCCAGGGCTACGTCCAGTCTCCAGCCAAATTCCAGCTGGGTTCCACTAGATTGAACGTTTTACAGATTACAACTTTAATCTCACACTCAATCTACCACAAGAACCACAATTCCAGTTCCTGCACCTAAACCTTCACCAAGAACCAAATTCCAGTTCTTGACCAACCCTGCAGCCAAATTCCAGCTACAGAAACCAGTGCCCACAATTCCAGGCACCCACAATATAGTAAAGAAAGTAAAGAAACAAATAGAATAAACTTAGAATCCTCAAACCAGATTTATGCAGCTCTACAGTATGTGTTTCTTCTCCAAAAGAATGCAATTTTGCCTCAAGAAAGAACTCCTATGAACTTCACAAAAACTAGCGCGATTCTCTCTTGAAATTAGCACTTATGCTTGCTTGATTGATTGTTAAAAGATGTTGTTTTAAAAGGTTCAAGCAATACAGCAGTTTATATAGAAGATTTTCAAAACTGCTAGTTTATTTAATCTGTTAAAATAATCTTTTAATCTGTTAAAAGTCTTGTTTTAATCTGTTAAAACTTCTTTTAATCTGTTAAAATGTTCTTGATTATTTTCTGGATTTGTTTTAACTGATACAACACCGTTTATATCAATTAAAACTCTTTGTAAAAAATCTTCCAAACTGTTTTAATCGATTGTTTCGTCTTTCAATCGATTAAAATACTACAAAACATTCTTATAAACTTTTCTAAGTGATTTTAACTGATAACAATCTATTTTAATCGATTAAAACACTTTGAAAAAAATTCACTTAGTTATTTTAATCGATTGAAACGCATTTCAATCGATTATAATTCAGCCAAAAGATTTCATAAAACTTTCTAAGTTATTTTAACTGATAGCAAGCTTGTTTTAATCGATTAAAACATTCTAGAAAAATCTCTTAGTTGTTTTAATCGATTATTTCGCATTTGTATCGATTAAAATACTGACAGAACAACTTTAAAAACACTTCAAGTTATTTCAATCAATTATTTCGAGTTTGTATCGATTAAAATTCTGCCAGAACACTTTTCAAAATATTCTAAGTCATTTTAATCGATTATATCAATTCTATATCAGTTAAAATACTGACAAAAGGTTTTCAAAAATCCTTCTAATGAAAACAATCGATTATTTCAAAAACATATCAGTTAAAAACCTGTTACAAAAGTGTTAAGAACATTTTAGTTGATAAAGTTTGTATACTATTAGTTAAAATAGTTAATTAAAAACCTTTTATCAAAATACTTTGTTTTTAACCGTTTAATCGCTTTTTAGAGGCATTTTGCAAAATCTTTTAAATGAAGAAGCCTCATGCAGCAGAGAGATAAAAAATGATTAAACCTAAGCAGAGATGTAGACTCACTAAACCCACTACTCTTTTATCTAAGTGACCTTTGACTGCCATAAAGTAGCCTTTGACTTCATCAAATCAACAAGATTTTTGCCAAAGTAATTCAATAAGATCTTCATCACTTTCAACGTCCCCCACCGAGTGCAACTCTCTTTCTCCACATGATGGTTACAAAGTGAACCATTAGCTTGGTACTTGCACATTGTGAATGAGAAATAAACAAACTTTAGTCTACTTTACTAGTTGAGTCCTACAAGAAAAAAAATGACACTCCACCACAGAAAAACTGGCATTGGCATTAGTAAACTCGACATGAAGACACATGTCATATTTCCAAAGCTTTAGTATCATAATCAAAATAGATTATCCAATTAGACAAATATTACGAAAACCTAAAATGGTTGGGCAAATGATAGCATGGTCAGTAGAACTCCTCGAGTTTGATTTGCGATTCGAATGTTGAGGACCAATGAAAGCACAATTCTTAACATATTTCTTAGTGTAATTATTACCTCTCAGAGAGAGATATGAATGGTGGCCACTCAGTGTGGATGACTCATCCAACAAAAAAAGCAAACAAAGTCGGGATATTGTTTAAAGGACCCATTGACATCGTATTGGAGCAGGCCCTACGATTTAAGTTCTCAACTTCTAATAATCAAGCCGAATATAAAGCTTTCATTATCGAGTTAAGAATCACCAAAGAGATGGGAGTTAAATATCTATGTTGTCAAAGCAACTCAAAGCTCATCACTAAACAAATATTGGAAGATTTCCAAACTAAAGAGATCACCATGCAAAAATACGATCATATAGCCATAAATATGTTAAACGATTTTGAAAAAATAGATATTAGTCATGTATGTATAGAACATAATGAAGGACCGATAGGACACTCATAAAGAGACTTTAACCACCCCAAGGTGGGACCCTAATGATGTTTTTCAAGTTGATACAACTCAACCAACCTGAAAAGATATTGGGCAATGGCGGTAGTCTCCCTTGGTAAGGGATTCTTTGAACTTTATTTAATTCCTTGGAAGATATTTGATGGGTTTAGGCTCGTGGTTTATCTTGGTGTGCGACGTGTATTCACTTGGACTTCGGAATTCACCAATTCATCGGTCATATTAACCAAAATAGAGTGTTGGATTCGTATTCTTGGTTTGCCTCAGTAATACTGGTGACAACATTTCCAACAAAACTAGGGGCATCTTTACTAGGGTGCTGGTGGATGTAGATTTGAAGCAGGAACTACCTAGTCAAATTCTTGTGGAAAAAAAGGATATGTGTTTTTTGTGGGGATTGGGTATGAGAGGCTACCAGAATTCTGTGGTAGTTGTCACATGATTGGACATTCTTTTGAAAATTGAAGGAAAGATCTTTGTAAGGGCACCTCGGTGGAACCAAGTAAGAAAAATATTAAGTTAGTATTTGTGGGTAAATCTAAATTTGATGAACAAGTTTCATAGAATTCTCGAGATTGGGATCAAGATGGAAATCTAAGGGAGGACAAAGACATGGAGGAATAAGTTTGCAACAATATTGTGGCTAATATGCAAGTATTGGATATAGTAGATCATTCTGATTTGAACCCTATTGAGCAGGTAATAAAATAATCAAGTCATATTCAAAACTCTTCCTCTCAGGATGGTGTCATTCTATCACAAGTACAAGCGGAAACTCTGAATGTTAGTGACAAGGAGAAATCTTAAATTATCACTCAATCTAATACTGATATGAATGTTCAGCGAAAACTCAATTCGGTCTTACGTGAGTATGGTAAAAAAATTATCTATGTTTTGGGCGGACAATATTGATGAGGAGCTAATATCTCTGAACCTAAAGAAGCATCTGTAATTGAGGAGAAAACTTTTCAAGTGGTATCTCATAGGAGATGGGGAAGGCCGCCTAAGAAAAACCAAAACCAAAAGGTTGAAAAACAAAGAAACTCTCATGGACTTTAAGTGCTTGTATTGGAATAATAGAGGATTTAGCAATGATAGGACTCAAAATTTTCTTAGTCAAATTTTGTATGGAATATAAACCTATGGTGGTATTCATTGTGGAACCTATGACTTCAGTGTCTCATATTCTGATGCATGTTTGGTCCTCATTTAGGTATTTCGCCATTGTTCCCTCTCCCTCTTGGAAAAGACGCCTCGGGGCGTGTTTTAGGGGTCTTCAAGTGGGAAGCGAACTGTCGTGATATGATGACTAAACTCGCATTTTTATAAAAGTGAATTGATCATCGCTTTCAGGATGTCCGATAACCGAACTATCCCTAAAAGCGAGGTTTTCACAAAAAGAGTTCTAAGGAGTCACCACCGATGTTTTGACCATAAACATCGAAAAAGGAAAGAAAAAGAAGGCATTGGTTTTATGAAAACCAACTTTGGCCATTATAACCAGAGTTGGGTAAGGGAGTTAGTTACGTGTGAGGAAGGTATTAGCACCCCACAACGCCCCTTTCGGGTTCTCTATGATAGATTAATTTGAAAAATAAAGAAAAACGATATCTAATATCTAGAGCACACAAAGGAAAATAGTAAAGGAAAGCGATAAAAGAGAGAATAACGAAAGGAACCTCCAAAGCGAGCTTTTTATAAATTCCTCAAACTGGTGGACACTTTTTGGTAGTCCCCTCGCTCTACAATGTTGCTCCTCCCTCCAGACGAAAAGAAAACTTTAACTCTTGAGTGTCTAAAAGATCACTCAGACTCTGGAATAATGCTCAGAGTTGCCTATTGGTCGTAGAATGCCTTCTAGGTTGAGAGAAGAGTGTGAGAGTGTGTGAGAAATGATGAGAATGAGCCCCTATTTATAGGAATTTACACCAGGCAGGCCGAAAGGACTGTTTGGGCATTTGTTAGGTGGGACATCCGTCTGGGAAAGTGGAACGACTGTCCCGGGCTCCAAAAAAAGGTGGGATGGCCGTCCCAACCTAAATAATAAGTGAGACGGCCGTCTAGAGATGTGGGACGGCCGTCTCGTGTTTTTTCTGATTTTCTAATTTTTATTTTCTAAAAAATCTCTCCTATTCTTAAAGGGAGCCTAGTGAATGCTACTAGGGGTCTAATAAAGCCTTATCTATATTCGAAATGAAGGATTTCTAGACTTTAATGTGAGGTTGGGCAAGATTAGGGGTCTACAGCTGCCCCCCCCCCCTTCACCTGACCGAACGGTTGTTTTGCCAAATGCGCCGCAAGACCGGTTGGTGGGTGAAGGAGTTGGCCCTCTTGCCCGATTGTCCTTCGGATGCTCCTTTGTTGTGGTAGCTAACCCTTTAGATGATAAATGTGTGTTTGATGGGTATGAACTCCCATCTACTTTTGTCGTACATAGGGTGTTCCTTTTGACCCTGTGGTGATGAGCACGAGCCCCCATCTAGCTTGAAGTCCTCTTCTGAAAGACTGAGTTGAGTCCTTTATAAGACTTGGTGGGTATAAACCCCCATCTGGTTTGAAGTCCTCTTCTGAAAGACTAGGTTCGAGTCCTCTTCTAAAGACTCGGTGGGTATAAACCCCCATCCAGTTTGAAGTCCTCTTCTGAAAAACTAGGTTCAAATCCTCTTCTGTAAGACTCGATGAGTATAAACCCCTATTCGGTTTGAAGTCTCCTTTTGTAAGACTTGGTCAGAATCCTCTTTTGTAAGACTCAATGAGTATAAACCCCCATCCGGTTTGAAGTCCCTTTTCCTTGGACTAAACTGTGTGGTAGCGGCTTATTGATCTTCGTCACGCGCTGACTCCATGGGGAGTAGTTTTGCTTGAAAATTATTTTTGACTTTTCTGAGTATTCATCCTATGTGCCAAAGATTTTTCTTTTTTTCTTTTACAATAGCCATCAAACTTCTTGATTACTGGGGATTTTTTTGGTTTTTAGACTTTTTTGATGGCCATCCAGCCTGTTGATCGTTGGTGATTCTTTGTAGGTGTCTCTTAGGTAGGCAGGGATCCACTGAGAATATTTTGATTCTGGGGATGATGCCTCTGAGTAGGCGGATGCTTCATTTGAAGATGAAGACTCTTGGTTGCACAATTTTTCCTCTGAACATGCTAATGTTCCCTTTGGGGATGTGGGCTTTTGTTTGTCAGGTCTTGCCTATGCGCAGACAAATGAGACTGTGAAGATTGCCTTTGCAATAGGCTCACTGGGGATATGTTTTCCTTTTTTGGCGATATACCAGGGAATTATTTGTTTTCCCTGGGGATCTGATTTTGGTAGTCCTCTGGGGGAATGGAGTCTTGGCTCCTTGATTGATGTTGGCGAGAGTTGACTTTGTGAAGCTCTTATTCCGCTGAGGGAATAGAATTTCCGATTCATTGCTTTTGTTTCTTTATTCTCCCTAATGTGACCCACTTGGGGATTTCATTGGTTACCTAAAAGTTAGGATTTTTATTTAATTTCGTCTTTTTTTCACGATTTATCTCTTTTTTGGCGTTTTAAAATTTGGCTTCTTTGTGGGGGTAATGCGTGTGCCTTTTTTACTTTTTAGTTTCTTTTATGCACACAAGCTTTTTCTTCTTTTTTTGGGGATCCCCAGGGGATAAAGTTTTTTTTTTCTTTTTTCCTTTTCGTGGCCCACTTGGGGGTTTAATGACCTTTCTTTGACATGACCTTTTCTTGTTAGGCCTCCGATGGGGAGGAAGAGTTTTCTCTTCCTTTCTTCTTCTTTTCTTTTTCTTGTTGAGCCCTTAGGAGTGCAGAGATTTGACTCGTTGATTTTGTTGATGGTCTTGTAAGAAGCCTTTATTCTCCGTCAGGGAATGTGGCGGCGATGAGTATACTTGATGACTCATGTAGTGGCGATGCTGAGCTTTAGGGTGATATTTTTTGTTTTTCCTCTAGAATAGGCAAGAATCCGCTTGGGGATGACTAAGCCTTTTTGTTGGCTTTTTCTTTGTTGATGTGCCTTCTCTTTCTTGGATGGAAGGATGGTGGCTTGGAGCTTTGGGGCTCTGAAAGCTCTTATTTTGCTTGAATCGCTTTATTGATGACAACTTGCTCCGCTTTTTTGAGGGAGAACATTATTTGGAGACTGGGTCTTGGCGATCCTGTCTTCAATAAAAGACATGGAGCCTAGTCTCCTTATATGCATGATTATCTTTATTTATTTGAAGTATTTTTTATTTTTTATTTTTGATCTTGACAAAGTCGTTTTGTGCAACTACTTGTGTGTGGATGCCCTAAATACAATCTATTCTTTTATTTGATGTATCTAGAAAAGTGACCGGTATCCTCCTGCTGGACTTTTCATGATCATGTTGACGGACTCCTTTTTTATTTATTTATTTGGTTAAACCCTATCTTTTGCCTAGACTGCCTTTTTGGGGTTTTTGATCTAGCGGACTGCCTTAATTTTTGCTTAGGATATCTTAGCGGGTTTTTTCCTTTTTATGAGTGCCTTAACTTTTGCCTAGACCGCCCTTTACGGGTTTTCGATCTAGCATGTTGCCCTAACTTCTGCCTAAGAATTTCCTAGCAGGCATTATTCCTTTTTTATTTTCATTTTTTTAATGTTTCCTTGTTTATGATGCATGATATGATCTTGATGATTTATCAATATGTTAAATATTCTTTTAAATTTTCTTTTAGGATTACATTGTCTTAACATGCATACCTAGGTAAAATAAAAATAAAAAAATTAAAGGATGTCATGTCCAATTAATCAAATACATACACTCAAATGTTATTTAATTAAAAGATGAATTTTTTTATAATTATAGTATTTTTATTTAAAATTATTACATGTTCAATTTATGCATTTTAATTTAGATAAAAAATTTAAGACAATAAGTTATCTCAATTTTCATAGTTAAAATTTAGAATTAAAAAAATATCACATCCAAATAATTATTTCTCTAATAAATATTTAATTTTAATACTTATAGAATGCAATTTTAAATATTTTGATTAAAATATAATAATAATAATAATTATTATTATTATTATAATACTTATAAAATGCATATTTTATTTTATTTAAATAAAAAAATTTATGATAACAAGTTTCCTCAACTTACTTATTCAAAATTTAGAATTATAAAATATCACTCATAATTATTTCACTAATAAATTCTTATTTTTATTATATATAAGAAAATGATAAAGTTTAACTTTTAAATATTTTCATCAAAATTAAAATATTATAAAATAAAAAGTATTATGGTTTATTATTATACTTAATTAAAAGAATATAATTATAATTATTATTATTAAAATAATGATGAAATATTTCATATATATATATATATATATATATGAGACGATGTTTTATATCATATTAATTTAATTACATTTTAAGAAAAAAATTGATACTTTTTATTAAATCTTGAGAAAAATAAGACATAAGATAAACGTCTATATATTTTTATGTATAAATATATGAACTTCACATGTTTACATTGTTTTTATCATAAATAATTATTAAAATTGAAAAATATTTTTCTTTTAAAATAGGTTAATTTATCGATGATAATTGTCTTTATCTTGATGCCATTATCTATATAGGTTGATATTTTAGTTATAACATGCATAAGAGACAATAACAGGGAGTATGAACAATTATCATGTAAATAATATAATCTCAAAATGATATATAAAATCTACATATTCCTTTTATAAAAAGATTTGAATTAAATTTGTAGTGACTAGTAAGTATAAATGAGCCAAAAATTAACCACTCCTTAAGTAATATCCACTCATTTTAATCCTTATGGTTCAACTTCCATCTGTAATATTATCAAATCTTCATAAATAAATATTTGCCTAATATGACAACATGGCATGTTCAAGTTTGAACTATGCTTGATTGGCACAATGTTTACCAATAGAAATGGAGTCCAGATCTGGGTTAGGGTTGTCATGTTGCCCCTAAGTATCCTTAATGCCTTCCCAGCATGGTTAGCTTCAAAGGTTCTCCCTGGTAATATGATGCCAAATTTCTAAAAAATGAACCTGATCATTTGGATTTTATTATCCAAAAAATCCTTAATGCCTTCCCAGCATGTTTATGATGCTAAATTAAAAATTTATTTTAAGATGTCAAATATTTATTAATTCAATTTTATTTATCAAATTGAACAAAGATAAAGTGAAAGCAATATAATCAGAGATAAAATATCAACTAGATAGAGAAAGATAGAGATACAAATAAGGGGTGTAAGGAGAGCACA